ACTCAAGATCATTGGGCCAGGTAACTGTAAAATAAACAAGCAAAAATCCCCCCACAACAATGTTATTTCTATCTCTATGAATTCTGAGCCTGGATGAGAGAATAAAACAAAGTAGGAGAAATTGTGAAATAATTTGTGGATATACCAAAGCATTGAAGAATTTGGGGCTTGGGTCTACTTTCTGAAATTGAAACCACCTGACAGGATATTTTATATACCGTTTATGACATATCTATATTCTTATAGACTTTACGGAGACGTGTGCACATACACATGCACATGTACACACACTCATTCATACAGTATCTTGCTTATTTTTATTGTTTTTCTTCCAAAAGATGGTAAGGGTTTTTTCTGGTGAGGTGAAAGATAATGCACAACAAATTTGAAATTAATCTCTCTTCATTTATCTGGCTAAGCAAAAATGGTAAGATGGTGACCAGAAAGCCAAGCAATGATCGAATGCATGGATGAAATACATTTCACACAATTTTACTTCCAAAGGAATCATCTAACTGTTGATGATGAATAACACTACTTACCTTCAGGGTAAGGAATTTCCTTGCAATTTTGAATTTTTCATTCAGTATGGGCAAAATTCTTTATATACAGTTCAGGGTTGGGAGATGCAATAAAAAAGGTTCAGGATTAAAGAATAACATGAAGGGAAGTGGTTCTTGCATTTTACTTAGTAGCGACCTTTAGCAACTATATCCATATCTCTTTCTGTACTTATCAAGCTTAATTGAAATATTAAAATAATTAAATACATTAAATAAAAAGCTGCTATCCAGTACACTTTGTTTAGGAATGACTATTTCTCTATGAAAACTTACTCTGAACTCTTGATAAAAATATATTTTCTTAAAATATAAGAATATTATTATAAGGTAGAAGCAAAAAAAAAAAAAAATGAAATGCTATCTGCTTGGCCTGAAATTCTTAACTATTACAATAGATCTGCAGAAGATCCCCACTGCCCGCTTATAATAATTCTCAGCTTTATTTCATTTAAGCTAAAGTAATCACTTGGGGATTTAAGTAGGGATTTTGGAGATCCAGGCATATCTGCTTGGAAATTTGTTTTGTCAAATTTAAATAAATATTGGCTTCCCTCAGTACAGTATGTTATATCCTGCCTCATGTTCATAATGGAGTTCAATACACATATACCTTGGTAGCAGAGGATTATAAATGGAACTGGAGGATTCTAAAAAAAAGTTAAAGGGATATTTTGATAATCATTTAATTAAGGCATAGAAGTAAAGGTGGTTTGGATGCAAGTAAAGCTTTTGTAAGAGAGCATTTTATACAACATAATAGTGATCTTAAAAAAAAAGGCAAGAGAAAATACAAATGATCTTGGATAAGATAAAAAAAAAAAAAGAAGGAAGAAGAATTTAAAAATCCCCAGGGAGGGCAACTATTACTCACCAAATTAAGGTTTTACAGAGGGCATTATCCACATTAACAGTGAGAGAGATGGAAATAAAGATGAATTATGCAAAACCAAGACATTCTGAATTTGTAGAGAAACTGGGAAAAGGGTTGGCATATAAATTATGAAAGAAAAAGAAAAGAAAAGGAAGTGATATTAAAGCTAAAAGAAGGAAAGAATGTAGTAACAGATATTGCAACTATGCAAAAACTGTGGGAGCAGTATTATACTACTTTATACAAAAATCAAGAAGTTTCTTCAGAAAAAGTTGATGAATATTTATATAAACAGAATTTACTGAAGATTACAGAGGATCAGAGACAAATTTTGAATGGATCTATAAAAATAAGGGAATGGTCTGAAACTTTTAAAAAGATGAAAATAGAAATGGCATCAGGTCCACATGGGTTGCTAGCTTATGATTAAGGATGAGCTTTTACAACCTTTAGAAGAAACAATGAATATTGTTATTACTATTAGTATTAAGAATAATTAATATTATTCTACAGACTGGAAAGATTCCCGATAGCTGCATTGAGCACTAATACCTTAAGAGGGACAACATTTGACTTTAACAAGAAATTATTGACCAATATCTTTATTGGAGAAAGACTATAAATTGTTTACCATGCTTTTGGCTGAAACGTTGAAGGTAATTTTACCGGACTTTATTCATGAAGATTAATGTAGGATTTGCCTAAAAGACAATTATGAGATAATATTAGAAATGTTTCGGATATTCTGGAGTACTTGGAGCAGGATAGTGAAAAAAAAAATCTTTCATATTCTTAGATGCAGAGAAGGCCTTTGATAATTTGAATTGGATGTTCTTGTTTAGAGTTCTGGAACATATGAACCTTGGAGATAATTTTACTAAATGG